AGAAAAGAGGGAATGAAAGGATTGGAAAGGGTTAAGAGGAGATGAGAAGAAGAAACAGAGAGAGAAGAGGAAGAAAGAGTGGGTGGAGAGAGAGGAAAAGAGAGAACAGAAAACAGAACAGGAGATGAGAGAGACAAAGAGAGATAAACATAGATAGATAGATAGATAGATAGATAGAGAGAGAGAGAGAGAGAGAGAGAGAGAGAGAGAGAGAGAGAGAGAGAGAGAGAGAGAGAGAGAGAGAGAGAGAGAGAGAGAGAGAGAGAGAGAGAGAGAGAGAGAGAGAGAGAGAGAGAGAGAGAGAGAGAGAGAGAGAGAGAGATTGAGATAAATAGAGAGAGATTGAGAGAAATAGAGAGAGATTGAGAGAGAGAGGTGTATAGATAGGAAAAATAGTAAGACAGACAGACAGACAGAGATAGGCAGAGTGAAATAAAAAGAACGAACGAAATAGTGGGACTTAAAACGGAGGGATAAAAAGCGGAGAGGAAGAAAAAGAGGAAGCCCAGACAGACATAGAAAGAGAAGATGTAGAAGATAAACCGTAAAAAAAAGGCGATGAAAAAGGAACAGGCAAAGACAAAACAAAATGATATTGGAGCTTTAGAATGAAATAAGATAAAGCGTCGGGAGGAAAAGAGATATCAGCTGATCCCGCGATTTGAAAGGTGATGCATAGTTCATGACGCAAGCAGAGCGAAAAGGAGAAAAAACGTGCCTAGGGAAATTTCATGCGGGATTGGAACGTTTGTGAGGATTCTTACCTGCTTGCATAAACGTTCATAATCGGGCTCTGAAGTCTCTAAAAGAAATACGTACATACATACACGGAGACGCACGAACACTCAATGTGTATATAGTTGCAAGTAGAGTGATTTATGTTTTCACTCTCAANGGGAAAGGCAGGAGAGACAAGAGGAGGAGAAGAAGAAGAGGAGGCAGAAAGGAAAGCCGCAGAATATCTTACATACCCATTAGGCAACCTGGCCATTCCCACGTACGTAAACCTCTCCGTTCGAGCTTTCTCTTTCTCCCTCCTGCCCCCTTTCCTCCTCTCTCCTCACTCTTTCTCCCTCTTCTCCCTACTCTCTCTCTCTCCTCCTCTTTTCTCCCTCTTCCCCCTCTCTCTCCTCACTCTTTCTCCCTTCCCCCTTTCCTCCTCTCTCCTCACTCTTTCTCCCTCTTCCCCCTCTCCCTTCTCTCTCTCCTCCCTCTTTCTCCCTCTTCCCCCTTCCTCCTCTCTCCTCACCTCTTTTCTCCTCTTCCCCCCTTTCCTCCTCTCTCCTCACTCTTTCTCCCTCTTCCCCCTTTCCTCCTCTCTCCCCACTCACTCCTCTCTCCTCACTTTCTCCTCTTTCCCCTCTCCTCCTTTCTCCTCACTCTTCTTTCTCCCCTTTCCCCTCCCTCCTCTCTCCTCACTCTTTCTCCCTCTTGTCCCCTCTCCTCCTCTCTCCTCACTCTTTCTCCCTCTTCCCCCTCTTTCCTCTCTCCTCATCTTTCTCCTCTTCCCCCTCTTTCTCACTTCCTCTTTTCTTCACCTTTCCCTCTTTCCTCCTCTCTCCTCACTCTTTCTCCCCCTTCCCCTTTTCCTCCTCTTTCCTCGCCACTTCCTCTTTTCTTCTCGCCTTTCTTCTCCCTCTTTCCTTCTCTCTCCTCACCCTTTCTCCCTCTTCCCCTTTTACCTCCTCTCTCCTCACCCTTCTCTATCACCTTTCCTCATCCCTTCCTCCTGTCTCTCCTCACTACCTCCTTCTCCCTCTTTCCTTCCATCCTCTCTTTTCATGTTCTTTTTCCATTTCATTCATTGTTCATTCTTTTCACATTCTCTCGGATTCTCTATTTCCCCGAATCGCTCGCGCAGTTTCCCACAAAAGATATATAAACAAAACAACAAAAACAGCAACTACAGAAAAAAAACGAAAAACAAAAACAGAACAATAATGAAACATTTAGACACTAAACTCGTATAAAAGACAATTATAAATATTGTTCTCTTTTGAATTGTGGATTTTATACAGCGCTGAAACAAAATAACAATGGCGGGAAAAAATACGATCAGCCGAGAAACTAAATCCATTAGTAAGCTTTCTTTTTATATATCGGATCCTAACTTGTATTAGATTTTAAAGAAATGCTGTATGTATATCACATATCGTTTACATACTCACACATACACGGACACACACACACACGCGCACGAACATACGCATACACAGACACAGACACACACACTCATAGAAACAAACGCAAAGATACCTACATACGCACATATACACATATACGCAGAACAAAACACACATAGACACTCACGGAGGTATAATTTTGCTTTACACAAACGATCCTTTTCTATTCCTCACCTCCCATCTTTCATATACGCTTTCATTTTATTTTCTATTCTTATTACGCGTTAGAGGTGCATTCAGAGAGAGAAATGACAAGAAAACGAGAAAGAGAAAGAAGAAGAGAGAGGGAGGGAGCAGTTTCAAATATAGAAAGGTCCGAAGCAAAAAAAAAAAAAAACAGAAACAATCCATTTAAATAATAATTTTCTATATTACCTTCGCCATTCCGATATCGACGATTCGTTGGATTCCTCTCACTCTGTACAATCCAAATATGTAGGTTTTATTGCTTGGACCCCCCCCCCCCCCGTTAGCGGCAAACTTGGCCCCGATAGCAGGGCGACGATGTCGGAGCGGCGGACGTAATATAGAAAATTACCCTAATAATATAACCCACACTGCAAATAACCATGGTTATTACACACGACTTTCCATGGCAGGGGGGATGCCGCCCCCAAACCCCCGCGAGGACACAAAATATCCCCCACGGATTCACGGCAGGATAGAGCGCACACGGACTAGATGCATCGAAACTGGCGCGAAAACCCGCCGACCCGACGAGGGCGGGCCACCGCCGCTCTTCTGGTCGTGGTTCACCTTGTTCGTCCTGATTATAACTACAATCGTATCTGTATACAATTTTGACTATGTCGCTGTCCAACCTGCAACCGTGCGGCTTTGTTTTTTAAGGACAAAAAAAGTTTATTCACCATGAAAAGAATCTAGACTGGTGCACGCCTTGTTACTTGGCAATCATTGCCCTGCAAAAACCGCTAAAGTAGACATTGAAATCCACTAGATAAAAATTTAAAAACATTTTCTGTTAAAAAACAACAACAATACAGAACTATTAAAAATTCCCGATTTCCATAGATAGCAAAACCGCAGAATAGGGGCAACACTGGCGCATGAGATCAAAAAGATTTTTTTGACTGGTTTTGTTCTCAGTCTTTGCCGCGAGCGCCGGAAGCGGTGGTGGTGGGGGGTTAGGGGTAGAACGCGAACACTTGGGCTATTTACGTATAGTTTTGGTGAGAATATTCATACTCATCATACACATACATACGCACGATATATAGACACACACGCACATGAAACTCGAAACACACACACACACACGCTCACAACCACGACACGCCTACGCACACGCCCACATATATTCATCTATTTTACCGATGTATTGATTTAATTCTGACTATTTTTTATCTACGTCTCCTATGTATCTATACTATTATATATATATATATATATATATATATATATATATATATATATATATATATATATATATAAATTTATACACTTTTCGGTGATATTTATTTGTTGAAAGTTTTGGTTTGATTATCAATTTATTCATATTCGTTGTAAAGTGCAAAGGTGTTCTTTTTATGTGGGATCATTCCTAATTGGAGAATTATATTTTAGGCTTTTTATTGATTATTTTTTTTCAATATTGTCACTTATATACCCAGTTTTCTATGATTCCATTCGGTCTTTAATGCTTTGTTATTCGCACATCCATTTATTTCCTTATTCGCCCCTCCATTAGTTTCCCATTTTTCTATGAAAAGAACGCCGCTTTTCCCCATCTTCGCCTGGAATACATGTGCGTGTGTTTGTGTTTGTGTTGTGTGTGTGTGTGTGTGTGTGTGTGTGTGTGTATATATATATTATATATATATATATATATATATATATATATATATTATATATAACTTTGGTTTTTTTTTTTTTGCCCTCTTTTTTTTCACATTCGGCATTCGAGAGCGGCGGAAGGAGGCCCCCAAGACCTTCATCACTGACGCTGAGGAAGACCCGGGAGAGACCTTCAGTCCCTCTCCTCCACCTGCCGCTCGAGCCCGTGACTGACCCCTTATATTGACTGACCTCCTAGCGGGGGGCTGGCCGGGCAACCCCCTCATACCCCGAGTGAAACTAAGCCGTATTGGCACTGGTAAGTATCTTTTAAACGTCTCGCCTAAATGCTGTGACGTTATAAGGAGATCCAACAATTTACATAGTTGCATCTGTTCTCAGCAACTAAATGGTAACACGATGTTTGCGAACACAACCCCTGAATACGCCTGGAGTCTTTCCCCATGAGGAAGGCCTCATGCCCAGCGGACATAAAGGCGAGGAGTATATTAGACCCGAATCTCTAGCCTGTGAAACAAATCCAAGAGTTCAATAACCGGAAATTCATGATATCCACGGGGTTTACCTCTGACGGTAACCAATTCGTCTTTACCCATTTAACATGGACGCTGAGATAACCTGGTCGCACAAAATTTCTCCATCTTTCGGCCTTCCGCCCAAAAGCAAATGCCGCGACCATTAAATGAGGAAATTTGAAATCCTAGCTAGTCCTTTCCTTAAACCTACCACATACTGTTTCTATGCAGTTCACGCGAAGGTAGCCAGAGTGTCGCGGCATAAGCCACGGTGAGCAGACACTGGGAGGAGGGAAGCGAATCTTTCGCTTGCCTATTTCGTCGACTCCTTAATCGACTGTCTAAGTCTAACGTCTTCTGTTACTTATCTCATCCTTCCATTACTTTTACTTCTGATCACCTGGACGTGTCTTCTGGGGTGCTCACTTCCACGGTAAACGTACCGGTACTATTGGTGCTGATTCGTTCCTTCTGCAGACTCGGAGACTCAGAGGTCTGACATGTTGCTGCGCTCTCCTTTTCCCGAACCCTCGTCGGTCATCGGGTGTGCTGTGGTCTCGTTCTCCGAGCTCCGCCGGTCCTGTTGCTGCGGCTCTCGTCTCTCGAGCTCGTCGCGTCTGTTGCTGGCAGTATGGTACTCGTTTCTCAGAGCTATTCGCTCCACGGTTACTCAGGCAACGGTCTTGCTGGCGTCTCTTCTCGAACTCGGTCTGGTCTGGCGTTGTTAGCTGGGTTCTCGTTCTCGAACTCGTCGGTCTGTTGCTGGGTCTCGTTCTCGAACTCGTCGGTCTGTTGCTGGGTCTCGTTCTCGAACTCGTCGGTCTGTTGCTGGGTCTCGTTCTCGAACTCGTCGGTCTGTGTTGCTGCTCGTCTCGTTCTTCTCGTCGGTTCTTCTGCTGGGGTCTCGTTCTCGAATCTCGTTCTCGAACCTGTTGCTGGGTCTCGTTCTCGAACTCGTCGGTCTGTTGCTGGGTCTCGTTCTCGAACTCGTCGGTCTGTTGCTGGGTCTCCTTCTTCTTCTTCTTCTTCTTCTTCTTCTTTTTCTTCTTATCGGTAGCTTTGTGGGTCTCCTTATCGATGGACTTTGCTCCGTTCAGCAGTTTTTCTACTGCATGAACAATTAATGTCACGGAGAGCAAGACTATAACGATACCGCACATAATGATGTCGTACTTGTCTTCCGCTTCAACAACGCCTCTCAGTTCGAACAGGTACTATTGCAGACACTCTATCCTGGCGGTTCTGCTCTCAATGGTGGGAGCGTCCACCGGGCAGATTTACTCTGGAAACGATGACGGCTGTCGAAAGTTGAACAGCGGTCGCGTGTTCTCAATCTCCTACTCGAGATTGGTAATGATCGTGCCCAGTTCGCGAAGTTTCTATTCCAGTTGTAGAGACGTCTGCTCTATTATATTATCATGGCGCTTCTAGAAAAAGAGCGCAATTGCTGCTAGCAGAATCACAGCTGAGCAAGCC